CTGTAGTTATTCAATGATAAACTATATGGCAAAGTATTTTCTTGCATCACCTTCATAGGTGCATCCAAAGTCTTTCACAAGCATCTGTCCAGCATGCTTTGCCATCATCGTTGAGTCCATAATTGTGATTTGAAATAGTCCAATCACATCTTTCTCATGCATAATCGGTTTTTGGAATGATCTTCGAAAGGTTCCTTGTGAAATACCAGTGTAGGTCACATTAGCAATCATTTCACTGTGAGCTGTGTCTCTCCTTTTGAGATGGTTGGAGAGGTTGTCCTCATGATCATAGAACTTGTATTATGTGCAGTCCAATTCAGTTTAGGTGCTTCTTGCTTGTTAACATAATCCCAATGCAGTTTTAAAACTACAGCTAGGGTTGATGTTATGATTCTGCAGATTGTAAGAAGGAGACACCGTAACCAATTTTTATCTTACTGTATAAGATAATTCAGGTACAGTGTGTTTTCTCCAGAGTCTTTCTGATAATGATGTTGATGCTTCATTTTTCATATATTCCATGCTAACTGTGAATGTATCACGTCTGTCTGTTCATCCTTCTCCTTCACATTTGCAGGTTCAGATGTCAGATCATGATTCAGTCTGTTACGTGGCTATGATTCTGGTGGCTGTATTCTGGAGGCATTTATGTCGTCCCCTGTTTGTTTTATCTTGCCTTCTTTAACAGCATCCATTGTGTCAGTCAGTGGTTCTGTGAACATATTGGAAGTATTTAGCAGGCTTTAAAATATCAAAACTTACTGTTCTCTTTTTGGCTTTGATTGTTCTCTGTAGTAAACGATCTTGGATTTATCCTCTCGAGGACAAACTGGCCAACAGTAGGAAATATTTGGTGGTGCATGGTGAGGCGGGCTGGAAAAAATAATTCCCTTAATTTTTCTAATAGGACCAATGGTTCTAAGCTCATCCTGTTGCAGAAATATGATTGTAAGTGAAAAATGTGCAACATTTCATATGGTGTCTCACCATTTGTATTATCAAGTATGTTGTTAATGCTCATCTGTACCATAAGAATAAGTGGATACCACTGTGTAGTAACTTGGATAATAGTAATTTCAACTCAGCATTTTTCCACCTCACTACTTTGGGGGTGGTTGGGTGCACTGATTTCCCAAAGTAACCCAAATGTGGTTGCCCAGTTTTGGGTATCCTTTGCAGTATCTGCAGGACCAACATCCGAGTGGATGGTCCTGGGACTACCATATGCATACTAAGGAAGTGAGACTAACAAAAGTGGTATCAGAAGTTGCACTTCGCACAGGATATATCAAAGTAAACCTAGTACATGCATCAACACATACAAAAACATATTTATAACCATGAGATGTTAACCATGAGTATTGGCCGAGTAATGTGGCCGAGTTATCAATAAGCAAATTCTTACAATAACTAAACACAATAACTACAGTATTTACCATATTGGGCCACCAATATTCCTTTTCAGTAGTTAGAAGTACATTACCTCTATCTATATGAGCTTGTCCTAGCCATAAATAGTCTTTTAGGGCAAGTCTCTCTTTCCTTTACGGGAAGAACAACTAACGTATTGCCTTTAATGTTATCATATAATTAACCCCTCTAAAGGATAGGAGTAATTATGCGGATAACCAGGTGGATTAGGTCTGGTTATCCCTGCAAGCAAAAACTCTGCATCATGACTGAGAGAGTGGGTATGTTTTTGTGATCCAGTGACCACTTTAACAGAATAGCATTGGTAGACACGTTGCATCAAAGTGCCTGTTAATGACCTACTATGTGAGGAAAGAGACCAAGCTTTGTTATAAGCATTTCCCTACACGTATTACAATGCCAGGCTTTCAATTTGTTTCCGCAAAGCAATATGCAGTTGTGAATATAAACTCACGATGTATCGTAAGAAAAATTGTTTGAACACCAGACTGAAACTTGAGAGATCAGTGAACAGTGGACCAAGATAGATAAATTAAATATTTAGCAATTAATATACTTTTTTTTAAATTACTTTATTGTATTAACTATGAAATTAAGTTTAAAACAATTACATTTAAAAGCCAACTTTTATTGTGCATAGGAATCACAAGGCCGTTCATAACGTGAGACAAATAGAACAGCTTTTTAAAACTAAACAGATTGTTTACACAAAATGACCTGAAAATTCACTTGCAAAAAAAATAAATATTTTTTTCTCAGTAAATTAATTAATTAAATGTAGTTAGAAAAGTCCCGACGACTTCCTTAAACACTGGGTAAGTCTATTAAACAGTGAAATAGTATTTTTACCCTGTATATTATTTTGTCGAACTATATTGTGCAGTATAACAAACTATGTTATAAGTGTTCATTTAAATATACATTATGTCTTTAAGGCATATATTATCTGTAAATTAAGATTATATACAAAAATGCATGTTCTGGATGTTCCCATGATTTCTTTTCTATCAAGTCTTGAATCAGATTCCTTTTGGGATTAGCACCCCTCCCAGCCACCTGGTTTCAGAGGCCCCTTTGGAGGTGACCACAAAAAAGTATAGTTTCTATAAAATAGATGAGAGGGGGCTTTGGACAGTAATGTCACTTTAATTATACTTTTCATATAGCAGATATGTGATATGCAGTGTGATTTTATATATCAGAGCATTATCACTAATTGATACTGCAATTTTTTTTGTTTCTTGGAAAAAAAAATGCATTTTTTTTAATGTTAATGTCTGTTTAGAATAGTGCAGGTTTTGCAATATCACATTAATTTCATATTATATATATATATATATATATATATATATATACAATGCTCTTACAATATATTAAAATTTGCCTCTTTCAGCATTAGCACTATCTCCCACTGGAATTAGTGTAGGGTGCACCAATATTTGGGTACTGTAGAATATGGCCATGTGGTGGAATGGAATATCCATATATGAGATTTAAAACTGTATTTTTATTTCTACGCTGTCCCCTAATCTGTATTTATATGTATATAACAGCGGCAGCACAGTGTTTATAGAAGCAATTGTTTCACCCATCATGCGTGGTTGACTGTGGGTTTTTTTACTTTTTTTTTTTTTTTTAAATGAAATCAGTTCCTGGCTCTGACACAGCAGGCTGCTGAATGCATGTAAATGCTCTTATTGCCCAGTCTATATATTTTTTTATCTATAAATAACATTGACATACATATAAACAGCATTGATATTTAATATAATTTTATGTTATTTTATGAAAACCTAGTTTATGAAATTCACTGAGATTATATGTGTCTGATCTGTTTACAGTCAGTACAGTATCATTGTTCTAATTTCCTTACTGCTTCCACTGCAGGTACAGTGGGATAGTACCACTGATTTAAGTAAGCATTCTCTTTTTAAAATTGGTGGATTTTAATCCTTCTGCCATTGCAATAGACTAAAGTCTGTACCTGAGTAAGCAAAGTCATTATGTGCAGGAATTGTGCACTTTAAATAGTAGAATACGTATGCTATTCTCAGTGGTGTATCCTGGTTTTGTGCTGCCCTAGGCAGGACAAAACTCAGGCAACCCCCGCGCCACCCCCACCCACGCAACCGCCACCCAACCTTCCCCCCTGCTCCGCCTTCTAAATACACACACATTCACTGACAGATACGCATTCACTAGCTAACAGAAACACACAGTCACTAACAGACACACACTCACACACTCACTAACAGACACACACACTCACAGGCAAACACACACACACACTAACACTAACATACATACACTAACATACATACACTAACACTAACATACATACACACTAACACTAACATACATACACACTAACACTAACAGACACACACACTAACAGACACACACACTAACATACACACACTAACATACACACACACTAACATACACACACTAACATCCACACACTAACATCCACACACTAACAGACACAAACTAACAGACACACACTAACAGACATCCACACACACTAACAGACACACACTAACAGACACACACTAACAGACACACACTAACATCCACACACTAACAGACATCCACACACTAACAGACATCCACACACACACACTAACAGACACACTAACATACACACACTAACAGACATCCACACACACTAACATACACACACTAACACACACACTAACATACACACACTAACACTAACACACACTAACACTAACATACATACACACTAACAGACATCCACACACACACTAGTGCTTTTTTTGTTTTGTTTTTTTATTTAACCCCCCCCCCAGCCTCCTTACCTTTGGTAATGCTGGGGGGGGGTTCTTCCTCTCCCTGGGCGCTGGGCGGCAGTGGCTGCAGCGCTGGGCGGGCGGGCGGCCGGCGAGGGAGCTCTTCCCCTGAGTGCTCTGCTCAGCTCCCTCGCGCGCCGCCAGCAGAGTGAGGCTGGGAGCCGGGTTGATGACGTCATATTCCGGCTCCCAGCCTCACTCTGCTGGCGGCGCGCGAGGGAGCTGAGCAGAGCGCTCAGGGGAAGAGCTCCATCGCCGGCCGCCCGCCCAGCGCTGCAGCCACTGCCGCCCAGCGCCCAGAATGTCTGTTAGCCGCGAGGCTAACAAGACATTTGCCTTGGGCATTTGGGGGGCGGCGTTTTTTGCCGCCCCCTGAAAAATGCCGCCCAAGGCAAATGCCTTGTTTGCCTCGCGGCTAATACGCCCCTGGCTATTCTTGTGAATTGGGCTTGCTGCTTAACACAGCATTTAGTATCATTTGGTCACATTTAAAGCTATAAATGTATTTAACATTTTATTTAAATAAGCCTTTCAACAATTTTAGTTTAAAAGTCATCAGAGATCCTGTATATTTACAATTTTATTTTGCCCTGATTTATCTTACATATATATTATTTTTAATTATTTTGTAAATATTTTTGCAGAGTATTTAGGGA